TGATTTTATAGAGGTGAATCAACTACCCGACGGAAAGGTAAAGGCATAGTGCATTCATTGTAAGGTAATCTATGTGCTACCGAAAACGAGGCCCACTACTCAACTTAAACAACATTCAGAGGGATGTCTCAGGAAAATGCTTAATGAAAGGCAAGTCAGTGGTGGACAACAATTTTCCTAGCCAACTGCTTCCAGTAGTGGTGACACACAAACCCCTATTCTTTGGGATGGCAAATTTGATATGGCGAGGATGAGGGAAAGAGCTGCACAGTAGGTGATATTGCATGAGCATCCTTTTACCATTGTGGAGGAAGAAGTTTTCAATCTAATGTAAAAAAAAATTGGGATGCCTGAGTGGGAAAAAATAGTGCGCACAATAAATAAAAAAGATTATGTGGTTGTGTATGAGATTGAGAAGAAGAAGTTAATGAATGTTTTGAAGAATGTCAACAAGATAAGCTTGAAGACGGATTTATGGAAGTCAAGTAACCAGAATATAGAATATATGATTCTAACTAGACATTTTATTGATGGTAATTGGAGGGTGTAGAAAAGGGTATTGAGCTTTGTACATATTGGTCCTTCGCACACAGGTGTTCAAATTGCTGATTCGGTGTACAAATGTTTAAAGGAATGGGGTATTGAAAACAAGTTATTCACTATCTTTGTCGATAACGCTTCCAGTAATGATGCAGCAATCAAAACATTAAGAGAGAATTTTTCAGTAACCAAGTGGCTGGTTTGTGGAGGGAAACTATTCCATGTGCGGTATTGTGCACATATCTAGAATCTTTTGGTTCAAGATGGCCTTTCTAAAATTAAGGACATCATTAAAAAAATCCATGAGAGTGAGACGTACATCAACCAAATGGAAAGCAAGCTCAAAATTTTCTCACAGATTGTGCAACAGCTACAGTTGCCTAGTTGAAAGTTGATTTTAGATTGTAAAACAAGATGAAATTTGACATATGAAATGATGGTAATTGCACCTCAATTTAAAAATGTGTTTTTCGAATTCAAAGACAAAGGCTCTTGGTTTACTTGTTCTCCTAACGACGAGGATTAGGAGAAATTTTAGAAGGTATATGATATTTTGGGAGTTTTAGTACAGTGACCAATTTAATCTCTTGGAGTGATTACCCTACTTCTAATATATTTTTGAATGAGGTTTTTAGGGTAAAAACAATGCTTGATAAAAAGGCAACAGACAAAAATGAATTCATTCAAGTTATGGTGAAAAAGATGAAAGAAAAGTTTGATAAATATTGGGGTGAATGTAATTTGTTGATGTCATTGTCGCTATCTTGGATCCGAGATATGAAATGAAGTTGATTGAAGTTTCTTTCCCTAGAATGTATCTCGAGTTTGAAGCACGAGCAAATATCCACAAAGTACGGGATGCATTGTATGAGTTGTACAGGAAATATGTGGAGGAATTCCAATCTTCCAACAATGAAGAAAATGTTGGAATGAACACGTCTACTTAGATGAATGTAGGAACTAGAGCTCCTGCTTATGGGGAATTTGATTTAGAACATTATCTTATTGATGATGAAGATATCATTCAAAAAAGTCAGAGTTAGATTGTTATTTGGAGAAGCCATGTTATGTTTGTCAGCCTGGTCCAAACACATTTGATGCACTAGTGTGGTGGAAGGGGAACAACATGAAGCATAAGATTTTATCTAGGATGACTCGTGATATACTAGCCATTCTTATAACCATGGTGGCTTTGGAGGCAACTTTTAGTGCTGGTAACAGAGTTATCGACCCTTATCGATCATCATTGTCTTTGATAACTATAAGAGTGCTACGTTGTGGTGGAGATTGGTTTCGCAATCTCCATGGAGTAAAGAAAAGGAGCAAAGTAAGATCCATGTTTTTAAGTTATATAAGTATTTAATTATTTTAATGGTTTGGTGCTTATTCTAACTTAATTTTTTTTCCTTTGTGTATTTTAGAAAGAGAAGCAATTGGAGATTCATCTTCCCATCGATTAAATCAAGTATATTGATATATGATTACTTTTTACAGTGTAGCCATATTTAAAATCAATATATTATTATTAATGATTTTCAATTTATTTTTCTTTTGTAGGTTCACACTATAGAATGACATGTTCACTCCTGTTGGTTTAAACATTCTGTAAGAAGCAAATGTTTGGTGTAATGTCTATGCAAATTCCTTTTGGTTGTGCTGTAATATCATGTTTGATATGGAACCAAATTTTTTTTGAACCATTTATTGGTTTAAACATTCTGTAAGGAGCAAATGTTTGGTGTAATGTATATGCAAATTCCTTTTGGTTGTATTTTTCTTATTGTTCTGTTCAATTTATTTTGAGATTTCATTATTTATGATGGCTATTTATTTTAATTTATTGAGTTTTTATTGATTTATTTAAAATATAAATATAGAGAGAGAGATGGTTTATTTTCAAATGCTGAATTAAAGGGGCATGAATTAGAAATTGTTGTATATTTGTTTTTTAGAGCATGATTGGAAAGTTGGTGTATATTTTTTATTTGAACATGTATTCAAACGAGTTATTCAAACAAGAATTCACAAGTTATTCGAATGATTCGAACAACTTGTTTTGGTAATCAAACAATTTCGAACGGTGATTCTATGTTCGTTCGAGTTCGAATAGGATTTTGAACAACCCATTATGCTTATCGAACGATTTTTGAATGGGGGTGTTCGTTCTCATTTGTGTTCGGTTCGTTTGCAGCCTTAGTATAGAGGCATGCACACCCCTTCTCCTATCTAGAGTAGCCGGCTCCCTTGGACACTCAGATCTCACGATGTTTCTAAAATGTAATGTTGTGAACAACTTCTTCCAGTTGATACGGTTGAGAAGGAGCAGAGGGAGAATGAGACCTAGACAGAGAGTGAGACATAGATGCAAAGGGAGAGTTAACAATAGGGAGATTAAAGGCGTCGGGTTGCGAAGTAACAACGGCAGTGGCGGTGGTGGTAGTGGACTTGTCTAAGAGAGTTGAGATGGCAGTGTCAAGGTCCCACTGATGAGACTCCAAGAAGAAAAGAGTTTCCTTCTTTAGTGGATGATACGATCTCCATGAAAGAGTTGATTAAGCTCATGTTAGATTTGTTATAAGTTGGGTGTACTTTCGGAAAAAAAGACGAAGTTCTGTCGTGGAGTAGTTTTATAGATGCTTGGTGGCTTCATTTTTTGAAGGAGGCTGAATCTGTTTCATGGGTTTTTTTGCGCTTCTTTAGTAAGGTTTCATTTTGTGTTTCGAGGATGTACCTTGGGTGTTTGAGAAGATTCCTGCTATATTTTTTTTTTATTTAAACTGTATGATTGGAGACATTGTTGGGGCAATTTTAGGAGAACAAGTGGACGGGTTTTGTTATGGGTTCCACTAGTGGTGTGCTGTCGTGGGCAACCAAGATTAAAAACCTTCCTAACCTAACAACTGAACTGTAAATAGGGTAAGCAAGGGTCGATCCCATGAAGAGTGTCTAGCCGAATTTTTGATGATGTGAATAAGGCTGGGGGGTTTTGAGTAAAACAGAAAACAATCTTAGCCAAAAACAAAAACAAAAACAATTCAATTCGAAATCAATTAATATAATGAAACTTGGTCTCCATCAACATCCACCATCGGAATCTTACAACTGATCATTGATGCAAAAGTAAATCAATTCTTACTTTGAATATTCACCGTTGGAACTATTTTCGTATCTCTCCTTAATTGTAATTAATTAGGAAACAAACGATCTTAATTAATCTTACCATTAAACAACCCTAGACACGCGCTAAAATTTAATCTAATGGCAGCCTTAAGAATTGAGAGATCGATGAAGCAAAACACACCAACTCAAGCGGTTGTATTTAATTTAGTCGAGTGTTCCTCTAAGATTACTAATTCCTGACGCAGCAAATTAATACCCTAATTGCTTCACAGTTAGAGGATCAAACAATTACGGATTTGATATCTAACTTAGTAGATTGTAACAAATATAACCTAGTAGGCCTCCTAGCAATTAAATGAAACAATCATAAAATAAGCATAGAAGAACATCCAATACTCAAAGCATAAAATTGAACACTGAAATAAAACGGATTAGATCTCATAGTTATTGATTCCGAGGCCTCCGTTTCCTTCGACCAAGTTATAAATTTAGCCTCTCATGGCCATCACCAAAATTCCAAAGGGAAAGTTATAGAGAAGACCAGAGAGAGGCGTGTCTTCCAAACCTAATTTGATCTCCCTTTTAAAAATATCTAAATTCGAATTCGAATTCTACTCAATCTCCTTAAAATATCTAATATCCTAAAGTAACATTTATCCTAATCTGATTAATTGGAATAAAATAATAAAAAGTCCTAAATAAAATAGGAAAGTGGTTTTTTCCAGCTGAATTTGCGTGCAATAGGTCTTCAAAACTTCTTGTAATAATCTGCCCATTTGAATTGCATGACAAGGCAGAATGTTCTAGAACGTCGACAGTGCAGGTGTGTCAACTTTAAGCTCAATTAAACCCTTTATCCGCGAGTATCTCTCCAACTCAAAACAGAAAGTTGTATATCTCTTTCTTAGCGTTCCACACATTTTGAATCATCTCAATCGGAGCTCAGACAGAGAGTTATGCCCAGATTATGAAACATGTCGAAACTATCCGAATTCACTTAATTAGTTCCATTTTGCAATTAACGCATCCATTTGCATCCTAAATCAAAATAGAATAATAATAGTATATTTTAGGCAGCAAATAAGTATAAAAAGACTAAACATTAAGGGGGGTAAATATGACATTTGCATTCTCATCAACTAGCAAAGGTGGAGCTGATTTGTTAGTAAAGGTGACTTAGGTTTGATGGAGGTGCATTGCCATCTTCAAATGGGAAGATAGTTATGGTTGACATTAAACTGAGTGTGCAAAACTGTCTAGATCAAAAGAAGACTGCTAGCAATCTCTCAAGTTTGTCTTTGTTGTTTGATAGGCAAAGTTTATCCAAGATTAATACGCCAATGGTATTTGTGAAGAGAAGGGTATTTCGGAATGAGGGAGATAAGATAATCCGAGTGGATCTGAGCACTAGAGATTATTATGGAGAGTCTTTGAATATACATAGGCGAATGAGGAGTTTTTGATACTGTCTGTAATTTGGGTAAAAGAAAAAGCTTGCTTTGTTGATGTTGATGAGGTTAAATCAATATCAAATGCTAAGGTGTCTCTTGAAACTGTTGGTTTGTTTCGTGGGGTCGAGTTGTTGGTTACTGAGAAAGAGTTAAGGGATTCCAATTGGTATTCGATTAAAGATTATTGGGTAGAGTGTCTTGAATCTGATTCAAAGAATGTTGGTTATGTCGATGGAGGGGTTGGTCAAAAGGGGTTTGAATGTGAAAGAAGGATTAGACGGTGAGATCCGAAGAAGAAGATGATGAGGGAGAATTCTAGCCATCACAAGACCGAGAGGAGCAATAGTAGTCTAAGCAAAAATTGTAGTGATCAGTGGCTGAGTCCGGTACCAAAAGAACTAGCTTGATACAAAAAAAAAAAAAAAAAAAAAAAAAAAAAAAAAAAAGATGTGTAGGAGTGGTCTCTGAAGCGGAAAAGGAGAAGTAAACATAAAAATTTAGAAAAGAGGAGCTTAAGGGAGGTGTAGTAGAAAGGGGTATGAAGAAAATAGTAATCAGTTGTGGTATAAGTCAGAAAAATAGTAGGCGAGTGTTTCTTGATTGAGAGCAAATGCGAAGAGTGAGCTTACAGCTATAGGCGAAAAAAATATAACAAAAATGAATTGGTGTATATAATATATCTTTTCAAAAAAATATAACAAAAATGAATTGGTGTATATAATATATCTTTTCACATGGGAGATGTGTTTTGATGATTCAATGTATCATATTACATGCTGAATAGACATAATATGCATAAAACAAATTATGATATGCTAAACAGATATAATATGACATGTGAATAGATAAAACAAATGAAGAAAAGTAAAGAAAAACTTTTCTTATTGTGATGAAACTTTCTAATTAATGATGTCAGTTGGAGGGAGTTTCATGCCTCCTCTCATGTTGCAAGTCGTTGTTGACAGATGATTGTTAAGGCCCCACAGTGGGTGTCAAACTGTAGATGCTAAAAATCTACTGTTATGAAAAGGATGGATACTGTAAGGTTGATGCCACTAATAATCCGTTGGACCTAAACACAAGAAGAGACAAGCGTGAAGCTTAAAAGAAACATCGGGGTGGTGTTTGCCATAAGCATTCTAACGCTCAAGTCAATAAGGCTGAAAGAGGCTATTTAATAAGAGTTAAGAGAAAGAAGGATTACTGGGAGTTTTTTCGAAGACCAAGACTGCAATGAAGGTGTATTTTCTTAGGAGCAAGAACATGTAGGAGCTAGTAGGTGGTATTAATTAGTTGAGATTGAATAAATTATGAGAGGGCATACCTTTGTTTATATAATGAACCCAAAGGGTTGGAATCCTAGTAGGATACTGAGTCATCTTTTGGGAGATAATCCCTATCAGGAAAGAAATATGTTTTATTGTCCTTATCAAATTAGGTTTATTAGTTTGAGTAAGATTCATGATCTTAGCAAAAGAGGAAATAGAATGAGTTTCTGATTTCCTATTTATGGACTGTTTTAGGCTAATGGGCTAGAACACAGTTTAGCTTAACTTGTAGGATAGCCCAACTCATAGAGTGGGTAGTTCACAAGGTGACTTTAAGTATAGGCCTAACCAGAATTGGGTTAAGGCCTTGGGTCGTGATATGTTTATTTCGTTATTGAGCCTTGTTAGGCCCAAGTTGATTTTTTGTCCGTACAAGTATGTTGTTGAATGTATAATCTATTAGATATAACAAATTGAGCAAGTGGAGTTTCATGCCTTACCAATACTTATTTAAGTTTATTTATTTATATAATTATGAAGTTATTTGCATAGTTTTGTTAGATTATAACACTTTAGTTCTATAACCAAGCACAAAACCTTCTTTGCTTGGGCAGTTAGCTCTTTCACAATCAGCACGAGTTTTGCAGTAAATTGGTTGAATCTTACATGTTCCCTTTGCTTCCACCTTTGGGGATGAAAATATTCCAGTATTTGGAACTTCCTGGGATGATACACGTACACCTTCAAAATTTTAAACAATTCATATATAATCACAATTATAGACGTTTTAAAAATAAAATTATTATTATTTTTATTTTTATGAAAAAAGCACTAAGATGATATGGTGAGAAAGAGGACGATCAAGAAAATAAGTTTCTTTTGGGTAAAGTTTGTAGAAAGGAATTTGTAGTAAGATATGATATGCTCTCCTTTGTATTAACCCTTATTTATAATGGTATACTGATAATCCTAATTAGTAAAAAGAAAAAAAAAAACTAAGTAGTAATTAACAGCGAAATATAATAAAGAACCACATTACTCTTATCTAAGAATGTAATTAATTATAATTGTCCACATATTAATTCCATCTAACATCTATAGAGATTTAAATATAATTCATTTTTGACTTGTTTAATTATAATATAACAATGATTTGTGTTAACATGTAGTTTAGGGATATATTAAGAGGATCCCATGATAATTAATAAATTATAATTTGTTGACATAAACAATTTCTATATTTGAATGATTTAAAGTAAAGAAAATCAAATTAAATTTTCTGATTAAATTTCTAATGGATCAAATGGATTATAAAATTGTAAGAGACAAACTAAGGAATAACATTATAAAATGTTTTATTATTTTTTAATCAATATAAAATTATATATTGTCTTGTTCAACAAGTTCATGGAATAAACCAACTCCTTGCTTCCCAAGGCTTCTCTGCCTAATCAACTCTTTATAAAACAAACCCAGAAGCGCAATTCCTCATCATTCTTCATCTCATTCAAGCCCACAACACATTTTTTCTGGTCGCCAACATGGTATGGTCAGGACCTATAAGGTCATACCGTCTCCATGGAACCCGACACCAGACACCCGGTTCGTCAACAAGTTCGATTCGCCCCCGACTTCCAGGTTATTTACCAAAGTGCCATCAAAGCCCACCAATCACTCCAAGTTTACAGGAAAGTGTGGCAAGCCACGGTGTGTAGAATGTCATATGCACCCGGCTTGTAAATCCAAAGACAAGACCAAGGGAACTCAGAAGTTTAACTCACGTGATTTGGTCTCAAATTATAAGTCCATCACGTGGCGGGTTACAGATGGCCGACCCGGTTTGAATTATTCCGGGTTTTCAGCCACGGGGATATTGGACCATTTGGGTAGTGATTATGGAGATGAGGAAGTTGATGATAATGGCAGCGATGTTTGAAGCTTTAATGGTTAATTTGGTCAATATTTTGGGAGAATTTTGGTGTCAAGCATGAAGAGATGAGATGATAAATGTTGGAGATGTTGATGATGAAAGGCATAATGTTATGAAGTGGGAATCTGAAGGAGATAAAGCTTGTTTGTAATGTTGATTTATTTGTTTCTGTGATGTATTCTGTTTTTGGTATAATTTGAAATGCTTTTAATGGTGTCCGTGTCACATAAACTTATGGGGAATATTTAAGATAATGTGGTAGCACTAATGGGACGCCTTCATTCGGCCCTTCCGCATCTACAAAAACGCACCCCCAAACACTTAATGATTTTCGTTTCTGCATCTATCGCTTAACTGTTGATAAACTCCCAGTTAAAATAAATAAATAAATAAATTAAGAGACCCATGCGCCACCAATTAATTCAAGATTGAAAAATTATAAAGTCTCACTTTCCTTGGGAAATGAAAAGCAAACGGTTTAATTAATGAAACTTAATATTTATTTTTAAAAATTTATACAAAATTCTTAAGTAAACGAGAAGCCACAAGCCCCTTCGTATTCTCACTGTGTTAATATATAACTGAACAACGCCTTGACTCTAATTTTCTCAGATAAGTAGAAACTGAAGACTGAAGATTTGTGTGAACTACAATTGTTCTTTGATTAAGGTGCATCTGATTTGACCTTGAAATTTATTGATTTCATTACTTTCACTTAAGTTTTAGCTACAATGCTTTGTGGGTATTTCATATTTTTGTACAGTGCCTCGGCCAGCACTGCTCACCGTCGGCTCTAGCCAGAACCACGGTGGCTTGGGAAAAAAAAGTTTCAAGAACAACATAATCACCTCTCAACTTAAAAATCCTCAAATCATCCCTCAACTCAAAATATAAATTCAGATTTACTTACATTTAAACAACAAAGGGAGAGGGAGAGAAGAAGTGGTGGTAGTTTGAGGTGAGGTGTAGTGGTGCGATTTCGGCGAATTGAACTTGACCAGGTGTGCGATTCGCACCATTGAGGTGAGAATTGGGTTGATGAGAAGATGAAGAGGAAGAGGGAAGAGGGGGATGAGAGAAGAAGATGGGAGGAAGAGGAGGGAGAGGGAGAGAGAGAAAGAGAAAGGAAGGAGAGAAGACGAAGATAAGAAAGTGAAGTAAAATAATAATAATATGGAAATAAAAATCAGGGATTTTATAAACTAAAATCAAAATTACCCTTTAGGATAAAAGAATATCAATAATACCATTCTTTTCAAAAGGATTTATGTCGTTCGGCCGCAATAAATGCATAATTGAAAGATATTTGTTGCTGGCAGTGAAACCCAGTACACAGTGAGCAAGAAGCTGAAGAGAGTGAAAAAATGGCGTGAAGTAGCTTCAAATCTCCTAAACCGGTTCATCTTCACTCAGGTACACTTGATCCGCACTAAATTGATTCTTTCTTTGGTTTGTTTGTATTTGAGTTGAATGGGGTATTATTTTTCTTTTATTAATAATTATTTGTTGTATTATGATTTAATACTTAAAGAAGTTGTAGAAGATTTGGAGTTCATATTGATGTTATTATCCATATTTGTAAAAGACGGAAATTTGTCTATTAGTTGAATGTGTGAAATCTAAAAGGGTTTTTTTAAACTGTGTAATGAAAGAAAATGATATAATTTCACATTTTCTAATTAAGAATAAATTTTAATATCATGGTTTCTTTAATAATTTTTTTTTTTTTTTTCTATAGATTTTTAGTTTTTATCAGTTTGGTAAATGATAATGGAGTCTGTTTCTTTTTTCTTTTATTATTATGCAGATTTCAATCTTCTTTAGGTAGGAAAATGTGAACATGGACGCGATCTTTCACTTGCTGATCAGAAACCGGGAGGTTTCATTAGGGCCTGTTGCATCTGGGTGTGGAAGAATCAGCAAATTGCCTGAGGATGCCCTCCTTACATTCTTTCCCACCTCCAATCAAATGTTTTGAGAACTCTGCATTGTCAAAAGATGGAAATACTCTGGACTTCTGTTTCCGAGATGATTTAATGAGTACAATCACGAACTAAGGTTGGACATGAAGACTAGCTTCTGGATCTGTGGATAATGTCCTCTCCGTCATGATCCTCATATACGGAAATTTCGTCTTGAGTTGATGATGCTTATCATGGCGGAACGCATTAATCATGGGTATCTGCTGCAGTAAGTCATAATGCAAGAGCTTGATCTTTCCCTACTGTTGAAAAACACTTGTGTTGCACTATTGTCTTTTCACCTGAATCGATAGCATATTGAAGTTAAGGATGGGCTCATACTTCAAGTTTCCTTCTTTGATACGCTTACAAACTTAAACCTTACATCTTGCGGTTACCTTCCAGATGACAGATCTGAATGAGGTTTTTTCTGGTTGTCCAGTTCTCGAAGAGTTGGTTTGGCAATTGGTCTGGAATCATAACAAGAGTATCACCCTTGTATTCCTACTCGGAGGCATTGACAATTTAATGGCCTTTCGCCAGATGGTTTACTTGATTGTGTTATCATAGTTCATGCAGAAAATCTGACATTTTCGATACACAATTGTCTAGCAATTGGACTCTCTACCGGTAACCTAATTTCACTAGAAAGTGCTTATGTTGAGGCATAGTGATATACAGATCTGGAACGCACGGAAGATGAATTTCCTAAGCGTGCAATAAGCTACTTAGCAGAATTCATAATGTTAAATCTCTCACACTTTCAACTGATACCATGGAGGTATGATAACTATGCTTGATGTCGAAATGTTTTGTTTCTTTTTTATGTTCATTTTTTAAACAGACTGCCACAATTCCTTCTAAGACTAATTTCTTATTCTGTTGTGTCAAGTGTCTCTATTTGGAAGAAAATCTCCAAGCTGGCCTTCCAACTTTTCCAGCTTGACTCATCTTAAGGTGAACATTGGAGAGTCTCAGTACCTAGCGATCAATTACTGTGTGCCTTCTCGAAAAATCACCCCATATGAGTCCCTTGAGATTCCGAGGTATTTTTGAATTCAAACATAGTTAGAAATGAGATCAATAGCCTTCTCCTCCCTAACAACTTTGATTGTCATGCAGGTTTCTGACCCTGACAGTGATCTGTTATCAACTGCTGTACCTCAATGTTTCTACTTGCCTCAAAATGTTGTGATCTCAAACATCGATGGGCACGCATCGGGGAACTATGTTCTTAAAATACGTGCTTGAGAATGCAACCGTGTTGGAGAGGGTGAAAATCTTTTGTGTAAACTCGGGGATAGAATGGTAAGCAGGAGATCAACCACAGTTACAACCAATTCACATAAGACAAAAGATTGTGTAATTGAGTTTTGCGAGGAAAGCAATCAGGAAGCCGACGTTTCCTCGATTTATATGCTTTTGAACTCGAATATGTTGTTAATAAATTATGATCTAACTACTGAAGATGTAGGTACTACATTTGCCAGGTTTCACACGCCTTCGAACTCTGAGAATATGATTTGAATTTGAAAATGTGTTTGGTTAATTTTTTTTTTTTAAATTCTGAAAATATTTAGATTATTTTTTAATCCCCTACATTTGTTAATTTAACTAAACACCCCTTACAATAAAAGTCTTAAAATTACCAAAAACAGCCCCACCCACCCATTAAATGCTAGCAGCCAACTACCACCGTCGGATAGTGGTCGGAAGTAGCCAAAATAGCACACGACCAGTTGGATTTGGCCGGTAGTATGTTGAACTGGCATTTTTCGGGCCGATCCACCATGGATCTGGCCGAAAATAGCCAAATCTACGGCCAAACAACGGTCGTATCTAGTCATCAATGACGTCCAACCAATAGTCAAGATATGGCCCTCGTCAACAGTCATGTCTGGCTAGATCTGGCTCAAAAAGGCCAGATCGGCGCATGACCAGCCACATCCAGTGGGTCGTGCACCATTCCAGCAGATTCTGGTCATCTTTCGGCGATGGTGGTTGGCTGCCAGGAATATGTGGGTGGGGCTATTTTTGTCAATTTATAAACTTTTATTGTTAGGGGTGTTTAGTTAAATTAACAAACCTAGGGAGTTAAAAAATTTAAATATTTTGAGTTGAATAGAATATTATTAAATTTTGAGAATATAGAAACAAATATGTATTTTGAATATGATTGGATATGATAGTATTTGTAATAATGAAACAAACACAGTTATTATTATTATGAAAAACGAACTAATATGATATGGTGAGAAGGAGGATGATCAAGAAAATAAGTTTCTTTCAGATAAAGTTTGTATAAAGGAATTTGTACTAAGATATGATATGCTCTGCATTGTATTAACCCTTATTTATAATGGTATAATGATAATCCTAATTAGTAAAAAGAAAAAAAAAAAAAATTAAGTAGTAATTAACGGCGAGATATAATAAAGAACCGAATTATTCTTATCTAAGAATATAATTGATTTTAATTGTCCACAGATTAATTATATCTAACATCTATAGAGATTTAAATATAATTCATTTTTGACTTGCTTGGTTACAATATAACAATGATTTGTGTTAACATGTAGTTTAGGGATATGTTAAGACGATCCCATGATAATTAATAAATTAGAATTTGTTGATTTGTTGGCATAAACTATTTCTATATTTGAATGATTTAAAGTAAAGAAAATCAAATCAAATTTTTTGATTAAATTATGATAAAACGGCTTTTGAATCGTAAAAAAGGGCATTCAAGGATTATATTCGTCCTGCTATTTGTGTAGATGATGCCTTTTTAAAGGAGAGGTATTTAGGGACGTTATTTGTTATGATAGTCAAAGACAATAATAATCACATATATCTATTGGCTTTGACATTGGCGATTGATATGTTCTTTACAAATAAGGTAACTTGGGAGCTTGATGAGGGGAAAGCAAAAATGTACTTCTCCTAACTACAATTCTCTTGAGGTTTTTAGTTGTACTTGTTTTGTTCCTCTTCAGCCTCATGAGCAAACTAAGGTAGAGCCAAGTGCACGTCTTTGTTGTTTTCTAGGTATGGGATTGAGCATAAAGGTTAAAGATGTTAGGACAATAAATCTAAAAAGAATGCAATCACTACAGGCCTTGAAACTATGCCGTTTATATACTCATTGCGCTAATAAAGGCTGAAGAACATCCTCCCACCCAAACTTTACCCTAACATTTGAAAACGACAATTACCTATTTTTCATCAAAATCTAATAATAAAATCCGTTTAAAAAGGATAAGATGGTAATTTTCTATGCATCCAAAAAAATCTAACACCGTGTGTCATTCACTCTCTTTAATATTAATTTTATAGTAACTCTCTCATTTCAATTTTCATTAT